AAATAGTATGGCGTGAGGTGCGAAGCTAGTCGCTGTCGGCCCCGGATGAATGCGTAACACGTCGGTGCAACACATTTTCCGGTTGATGGGAACACGCGTGTCGGTAGGAAGTGCGCGTCGGACGCAGTAATCTGTAATCGCCGTACCTTGTCTACAATATTGACTAACGCTAACTATGATTTACAAACGCAAGCTAATATGAGGACTTGCTTTTTCGGCGCCGTCTACGATTAGAAAATGACGGTGCTGAGAAGACGAAACGACGTGAAAGCATTTACCATGCATCGGAAATTATGCTGTTTAGTCGTTCGTTTCATGATGTATGAATTCCGTATGCATCGTCGCATATAGGGTTATGCATCACCCGTCACTGCTGAGCGCTTTTCCAACCTAGGTTCATCAGCAAGCTACGAATAATTAATTCATACGCGTAACGATTGGAGGAAATGATTCAACATGATTGATACAAATGGGGGAACGAAATCAATATACATCGGGTAAGGACAGTAAGTGAACGAGTCGCGTACGTGGGAAGTATAATGTATTCTGTTCGCACATACCTGCCCCCGTATTGCGGACATACAGCATCATAACCGCGTCTCTGAAGATTCTTATTAAACAAACAGCCAAATGGACTACTCATCAACGTCACTGCTGCATGCTGTGTGCTGGCAGTGACTCCCTGCGTTCATTAAACAGCTGGCTCTCCGGCCGTCACTATATATACCGGTACGATCATATATATAACGCGTGGTGCGTGCCTGACACAGGACACGGCCGATTTGTCGTACGCACCCTCTGTGGATTGATAATTATGCATTTTCGGGACAGGCGACAAGGGACAAGCGTGTCTAATAAGATCAAGCGTAGTATGGAGCGCCGCAGATATACGGTTTCTAGGGTATACGGTTCATTTGCTTGTCGTCGATTGCGAAAACTTACCTATAAAGGCAACGGGGATTTCTGAGTGGTAAGAGAAACGAAGCGAGAACTAATCTTTCCAATTCGCCACCCCCAAAAATTATCTATTTAGAATTTGGCTGCCAGTATCAAGAGAAGATCGCGCGTTATCAATATGACGTGTTACGTAGAGCGACCATAGAAATAGAATAGAAGCTATAGCAAATAGAATAATAGCGTATCTTCTCGTAACTAACGCCATCTATAATCGATCATCGGAAACTTGTCTGTTAATGTTTCTATAATAATGTCGAAGCACTATATGTTATTATTTTGCTTGTATGAAAATGCCAATTTCTTACCAGAAATATGCATATTTAGTTGTTTCGAATGATATAAAAGGCATATGTGCCTATATGTTATTATTTTGATTGCATGAAAATGCCAATTTCTTACCAGGAATATGCATATTTAATTGTTTCGAATGATATAAAGAGCATATATGCATGCGCAACTAATAGATGTGCCTTTGAGTATACATTTTCCATGCGGATACCTTTGATACGTCATTAAAATTATCTCGCTGACTCGAACTCGAGAGTAAACGATCCCTGGCTCTGTTAATCACTTACGAATGAGAAAGGTAACAGCCATCTCTCTACAGTCTACAGTCATTCGACAGATGATCCACGAGAGAGTGGAAAACGCGTGGTGTCTGCGCGAGTGAAACGTCTAGCCAAGAAAGTATTAAGTATGCATACTTAATGATTACTAAGCAAGCATACTTAATACGCTCTTGGTTTAGCGTTGCGCGAACTCCATCGCTCCAAACCATCGCTCAAGTTTTTCAGAAGAAAGTTATCGCCTCCGTCCATTTATGACATCATCAATTCGCTCGCAGAATATGCGCGCGCATATATTCAACTGTCACGCGAGAGAGGGCGCGACCGTCGCGGCCATCGCGCAATGCGGTGTACTGTCACGGTGTGTCTTTAACTAATTATGCATGGGTCTCGTTCAGTGACTCGCTCATATTCAACACGGCTAATCAGCTGTTAATTTAATACGCCACTGATATCCGCCGGAGCGTCGTTCTTAATTGATTGAAGCAGACGCAAAAGCGCCGATCGTTTTTTTAACACTTGACGCGTGCGTACGTGCGTACGTGTGTGTGCGTGCGTGCGTGTGTGATTCGGCGTAAGGAAGCCCGTTATGGGCCGTCGTTTAACAGTAGCGTTAACCCATTATGTATTCCTCATTCGCCTGTTGTTTTACAAGGAGTATAGCGATGGGTTACTGCGAAGCTGCTACGTATTTGTCGTTCGTGCGACGAGAGCCTCGTTATGCAGTAGTAAGGCAATCCGCCGCTGGAGCGGCACGCGGGCGTGACATTTACAATGGCCGCTGCTTGCTACACGTGCCTGTCTTATGTGCCACATGATATGGAGCGTGTCGAATAAAATACTAAGTCTAGAATCACCTTCCCACGCACCGAAATATCGGCTGCAAAGTTTACGTCGATTTTCGACTGTAAAAAAAACATAAAAGAAGAAGACGACGAAGAAAGAAACACACACACTTTTTCATGCCTCCCGCAGTGTTTAAGTTTAGCCTTACTTAGATACCGGTCCCACGCGTGGGAGACTTGCGTGTGACATTTTACTTGTGTCGCGATGAATCGTTCGCGTGGCTGTCTCCACTGTCGTCGTGGTCGCCTTGAGGCGCGTTGATGACGGCTCGGCATGAAAGCCCGTCACGAGATCGCGAGCCGTAATGTGACACCACGCAGACGAGCGCCCTGACTGCGCATGCGCTGATACGCCCACGTTCACCTAACGATGGCTGTCTCCAACAGGCGCTAATTTCCATTAGGCTTTATGATGTCGTGCAGTTACGGCGTAAGTGGATTTTGCTCCTGTATCTACCAACAACAAATGTTACGTCATTAAAAGCGAGAGGAGGCGAGAGAGAAAGAAAGCGTATGCGTCGTCCAAATTTCCTCGGGAAATGCGAAGCCGTATTGTTCGCGTTTTGTGTTTCTAGAGAGTTTTTACTCATATATAATTTCCTTGCTCCTATGATCGTAATTAAGGAAGTAGGGGCGTCGTATGAAACCATCATTGCAATTACAGTGCCACCAAGCGGAGATGAAAAACGAAAAACGTACGACCTAATCGAATAAAATGTCAACACGATAGCACGTACGCATCACGCCAGCGGCGCCGAAAAGCAACTTTTAATTTAATATACACGTACCGAATACGTATACACCATAATGCCTAATATATAACTACCTAAGCCTATCGGTATGTTGTGTTCAATTTCGAGATGTCCTGTTGCCGTGAGGTTTTATCTTTAGATAGCATTCCAAATTAAGACAACGGAGAGAGAGGTAAAGCGGTAATAGGGACTCGGCCACCATATTGTTTCACATTTTACCGCTGCTCTCTCCATTTATTGATGTCCTCTAAAACATCTTACTCGCTTGTTAGAACGCAATAGAATCGTCCGGCAACACTATAGTATAGTGTCTACATGATTTACGCTAAAAGGTAAACCCGAACAACGAAAAAAAAGCCCTGAAAGTTCTCTCTGACAACGAAGAGCTCGTCCACAATACGACACGAGCCCGCCGCGCCCTCACCCGATGACTCTCTCTCTCTCTCTCTTTCTCTCTCTCTCTCTCTCTCTCTCTCTCGCTCTCTCTCTCTCTCTCTCTCTCTCTCTCTCCTTCCCTCTCCTATTCTCCCCTGTCTTTCCCTGTCCCTGATTTATTTTTTGTTCTCTCTCTCTCTCTCTCTCTCTCTCTCTCTCTCTCCCTCTCTCTCTCTGGTCCCATACCGCCAGCTCTTCCCACACGCACGCACACACGGCATTTACAGACGTACTTATTCGCCTCTTGTATACAAATTTACTATGAATTAGCCAGCGGGGCGCGTTTGTGCTGCGACTGGCTCTCGGCTCTTCGCAGCATTTCAGCAAATCGCAAACACTCGGTCGCAAACGATGGCGTGCAAGACAAGTGTGTGCGCTGATGAATTTTTAGTCATAGAATGCATAATCTACCAGAGCGTCGCTGAAACGAGCACGTACTACTGGGGTCGTAACTTCAAGCGTGCTTGTGTGCGCGCGCGCGTGCGTTTGCGTGCGTGCGTGTGCGTGCGTGCGTGCAATGCTTTGCGGTAGGATCGATGTGGCCATAGATGCGGTCGCGGATTTGTTCATTCCTTCTCGCTAGACTACGCAGAGTACACGAAACCATACATCTCGTCTTAATGACACACCTTTAAATTGACTACGTCACGAATTTTCTATAGTATATATTTGTAAAAATTTTGTTGCAATATCTTTTCATGAAAAGTAAGTAGTAACGGGTCTAAATGTATCCTCAGATTCTTACCTGATAAGATTAAAAATCCAAAAAACAACTGGGCAATTTGATATATTGATCACGACATTAAATGCTTGCTATGGGCTATGCATGAGTCACGAGTGTTTGTTCACATCGAACGGAATAGCAAAATAGGAAGTAATAATGCAACAATTTAAGCATAAAAAGTGAGCAGAATCACTTACATTTTGTGAAAAAGTGGACATAATTTTTTTTTACTTTTACTGTTTACGGTGACGTAATCACTTTAAGAGTTTTAAGAGTGTGGTGTAAATTAAAGGCAGAGTTACTACTCACTACTCAGCATTATGACTGAGCGAGACCAACCATGAGTTCATGCAAGCAATTTCCCATTGATTATCCTAACTGAACCCTATTGAATTGTCCTAGTAATAACTAGTGGGCTCGTCATACTGCTCTGGTACTAATAAATCACCAGATACGTCATGATCATCAGCTCTTGATATGTAATGCGGTCTATTTTCATAAACTATTCTCAACAATTCTGATGCTCTGTGCTGTCGACTTATTTCAGGCAATAGGTTTTGTAATGGAAAAGTCAAGGCAATGTAACCTACTACGATGCAAGGTAATACCATACAACTTGCACTTTGATAATCATCAGAAAATTATTTATAGTGGCAGTCATTTCCTGATTATCATTTGGCATTATATGCCAGCTTTTTAATCATAAGCACAACAAAATGACAAATTTCACACTTGAGGTACTCTTGAAATCAAAAGGAAAGCCTCGCTTTATTGTCATTTAAACAACATCGCCGGAGCGACTACCCTGCCTCCTGATGCAAGCACCCTCGTACTGCTGCAACGACTCTGCTGTGCCGAAATGCTGAAACATTCATACGACTGACTACATTAAATGTCTACGTGGCTACAAACGGCCCGACGACTCAGCAAACAGCGAGTGTTAGCAATGCAAATTCACGCGTCATCGTTGCGACACTGCACACACGCTGCAGTCGCTTCCAAACGGAGTCACCCGCGTCTCGCGTGCACGCCGACGTCGCAGTGGCGCCCTCTTCTGGCGTGGAAAAGATCGAGTGTGTGTCACACGAAGGAGAACTGTGACCCACTCTCCTCGCGCAGAGAGTGACTAAACAACGCGCGCCACTTGACAAGCACTCGAGTGGAACACCTAAGCGACGGCTACTCACGCAAGAGCACAAAAGTGAGGCGATGTCCCCTATAAAGGACGTCCCCATTACTCGCATCATTATGATGACGTGCACATCATCTGGGTTAGCAGGTCGTTGATCCATCGTAGAAGACTTACTGTTGTCATAGCGACAAACCTATAGTGACCGTGCTAGTGATTCTAGGCTCGTGTCAACGGGAGAGCCACAGGAGATACAGCCCCTCGAGCGTTGCCATACGAAGTACTATGCTAAAGTGGAGCTGAAGATTGGCAGTAGTGTCGTCACAAGAAGTTCAAGCCAATGCCAAACTGAAATCCTCTGTTTAACCTGCAACAGAACAAACAAATCGCATTCTAACCTACATATTTTCAGATTTGTCGATTTGCGAGTTTCTTCCTTTCTCTCAAAAGAATGAAATCCAATTAGATACTCTATCTCGCTCAGGGGCTTTCTCTTGCAATACCCTCCGCACACAAATCGACGAAAACGAAATTTAATATAATGTGGCAGGGGACATAACTTCGTTCGCACTTATTGACTGTTTACTCTAGAAAGTCGCGTAGAAAGTCATATTGTGGGATTTTCTTTTACAGTAAAATTTGTTCGTAAAGCGACTGCCAACAAATTCTGCTGATCAATTCGGGGACGATCACGGTCTGCGTACTCACTTGTCGGTCGGCTGGAAGGCGACGGGGATGCAGTAGTTAAGTTCAAGTCTGGCAATGTTTCCTAGACATAGAACGATGCCCGCTCCGTAGGCCCACCTCAGCTGCGCAGCAAGATGCTGCATCGTCTCTTCTGCGCCGTGCCCTGAGAAAACATCACCATGGCAACGATCACCGCGAACACCAACGCTGCAATTGTTGCGGAAAACGTTCCCGTGAAAACCACATCCGTTCACACCACGTGGCGCCACCTACCTGCTTTAAAAGGGTCAGGGCTGGCGGCATTGATGAATAAGTGCGTGCGGAAGAGATCGCCGAATCCTCCCTTGCCGGGCCGGAATGGCAGCGGTGTATAGAGGTGGAGACCACCTGCGCAGTATGATGTACTGCCTAGAGCATCACCTGGTGAGACACAAAGATGGTCAATGAGCAGAAATACTGCGCAAAATGGTCGTTTCACGCGTAAACCTGCAGCTGGAGAATAAAACATGGGGTTCTGAGAATTAAAACAAAAATCTTGACGCTTTCTGGCGAATTACAACGCACTCTCCCACTCATTGAAAGGTAGTGGTGGAGTTCAAAGCATGAACCCACGCCATACATCACGCCATGCATCACGCCATACATCACGCCATACCATCATCTTGCCTGGCCGTTCCCAAATTGAAGTCGGTAAGTATATTAATACAGCTACTCTCTGCCGAATCGTTTAACAACTCAAACGTTGCTCGACAAAGGGGATAGCTCACGTACCGTCGCTGCTGGGGCCGGCGCCTCTCATTTGGAAGCCCCTGAGCGTGAGAGGACCGCCGAGGAAGTATCTGTCACAGATGCGAGGTCCGTGTTCACGGTCCAGGCTCTGCATCATGCCTGTCGCCAGAGTGCCCTGTAAAACCTAAGCGTCGGCGGACGCGTTACGATCGTCGTACATCGAATGTCTCAGTCTCTCGTTCTCTAGTAATCCCATTCTCTCACTTGTTCTAGCTTCCCCCTTCTCTGTCTATTTCGTTCTCTCGTTTTCTCGTTCTCTCGTTCTTTTTTCTCTCCCGTTTTCTAGTTGCGATTCTTGCGTGTCTATTCTATATGTCTATAATCTCTTCACTTGTTGGACGTGGCTCTCTCTGTTAATTGACACGGAGCACGTTAGCCGCATTATTTGTCCGTCAAACTCTTTGGATTAAAGTTTTTTTTACCTAAACTAACGTATGCGTTTAGTTTTAAGATATATACGGTGTTGCTAAATGTGACCATCGCAAAAATTACTGCTAATAAAACGGTGATATGCAGCGTATAATTTAAACGGGCGCTATTTACCATTTCTGTTGAGGTACCTGCCTATCCAACACATACAATTTACTGAAATTATCACGTTCTACCCGTGTTCTAACCTTGCAAGAGGGATACGTTTTCGAGCTAGAATGAAATTATTTTGATTGCCTCTTCCGTCCGCGCCATTTGCGTGCAGCCTAACTCTACTTATACTATAGCTGGTATTTTTTTGCACGCGAATGCCAAACCTTGCCATTGCCAGTTTTCTCGCGTTTAAGAACCAACGAATTAAATGAACAAGACTAATCATCGCGTCGAATGAAATATGGTGAAATGCGGCCATTGTTAAACTATTAGTTAACATACTATACGTGCTGGCAAGAGTGAATCAGCAGTGTGCAGAGACAGTGCCGCATTACCAGTCGACTAGGAGCCACATTCAAATGAGACTGGGTCATTTCAACATTTAAAAGCTTATTACAACCCCTTTAAAGGCATGGACGAACTGTCCTTCTATCTTCTGTGGTTCGGCTGAAACTGTTGCTAGCGAACGAGGACTGCTCTTCTAGCAAAGATCTTAATAATTAAGCCGCTGTGCTTGCCCGCTAATGAAGATCATATGCCAGTGAAGTAGGCAATTACTCGCGTATTATGCCCAAATTGGTAAAATAAATCAGATGGAGATAATTCTACTTCGATGCTGAGTTCCAGAGAGTAATCACCCAGCCGTAGACTTGCGACGTGATTTCACGGTGTGTGCGCATATTGAAAATTGTCGCAGGGAGAGAGAGCGAGAGAGAGAGAGAGAGAGAGAGAGAGAGAGAGAGAGAGAGAGAGAGAGAGAGAGAGCTATAATTAAGAACGAATAATATTAACGTACAATGATTTCTGTACCTATGTATGACGTTCTCTATTCAGCAATCACCTTATACATTGCTTTTTTCTACAAAGATCTTTTCTTCTTCTCATATATGGCGCGATCTCCGTTCAGCTTTTTAGCCATATATGGTCATCTCGCCCATGTATAGCGCTCTCTCCCATATATGGTGTCTTCTCTCAACGTAAGGCGTTCTTTCGTACAGATAAGATGTTCTCGTGCCACACATGGTTCACTCTCCCCTATACCCCTCCCTTATATGGTCGTATCCTCCCATAGAAGACAAAATAAATTGTCGATTGTTGTGCGTCAACGATATAGCATAACTAATTGTGCTTTGCAATCGTATATAATATCTCAGAAGAAGAGTATTGACTGGAAATTATTTCAGACGTGATTCTTTAAAACACAAGAAAGTTTTACTCGTCAAAAAGTGATTATCCGAGTTGCATGCTGGAAGCTTCACATGCAGTCTGACAATAACCCACGTCGAAGCAGTCTACGCGTCTGAGACGTGACCTTTAGGGCTACGTCTGTGACCAGACAGATAATATTATTAATGTACGCTGCGATGTAATACGCCTATATCCATTCAGCAAGCCACGTCTGAATCACACGTCTCCTTCCACGTGCATTATGCTCGTGCATTGTGCGTGTGCATGATTCGCTTCCACGCAGACGGGTGCGTGCCCGTCTAATGGCGCAGATTATAGGGTCAGACGTCATGTAGCAATTGCTTTGCACAAGATCAACAAGCGGGAATCGACAATGCCAGGTATGATCTCGTAGCAAAGCGTATCCGAATCCGAACTAAACCCGGCTGCGGTCGAATCGAATGGCGAATCGAATAATTGCGCTCCTATCTCGATGTCGCAAGACGTCGCGAGCACACACGGGCGCCGTCAGCCGTCGCTAGTCCCGTGCAAACATCGTGTGGACTCTCGCTGTCGCACGGATAATTCGACGCGCTTTCGGAAAGACGTCGCTGACGCTGACTTGCGTCGTATCTGTATCGTCGTACAAACGCGCTTTGCCTAATAAACTGCGCACACATTGATATCGCATTCTCGTGATGCGGCTTAACGGTGTTTGTGAACGCGGTGCGCGCGTGATTGAGAAAAGAGAAAGAAGGAAAGAAGGAGAGCGAGGGGAGAGAGAGATGGAGAGAAAGAGAGAGAGAGAGAGAGAGAGAGAGAGAGAGAGAGAGAGAGAGAGAGAGAGAGAGAAAGCAGGAAAGCGAAATAGAAAGAAAGAAAGAGAGTGATACAGTGAGTAAACAAAAAGCTGAAAAATGTGTAAGAGGAAATGTTCAACGTAATGCGTTTGATGCAGGAGGGATATATATATATATTAAAAGAAAGAGAGATGGCGAGAGAAGATTATTATTTGCAATTCTATTCAAATTCGCACATGATGCTATAAATAAAATTTCAAATGAAATTTCTTGTGGGCGAGGGCAGCGGTAGCGGAGGCGATGGTGGTGGTGGCGGTGGCGGTGATGGTGGTTAGTTGTGGTGATGGCGGTGATGGCGGTGATGGTGGTGGCGGTGGTGGTGGTGGTGGTGGTGGTGGTGGTGG